CAAGCTACGCACAGAACGTACATGTTTCCAAAGGGCTGCGGTTTGGAGCGACAGTGCTATTTTCATAGCACCTTCTAGATTCCAGACACGAGCAAGGTCCCTGTCCTGCCAGGATCTCCATGTGGGCAAATCTGCCACTGAGGCCTATGGGGCTTCATGCAGGTACAAAAGTCTGACTGTGCAGAACTATTTAATCGATTGGGGACTTTGTGAAGCTTCACACAAGGGGTCATCCCCATCTCTCATGTGGGGAAACTGAGGTACAAAGAGTCTGGGACTGGGCCAGCATGACACAGCTTCTGACACCAAGTCTTTTGGTTTAACTACCCATATCCTCCCCTTTTTTCATCCTCTATCTCTCACCACCCTCCTGACCTCCACATCACACATGGGGCTGGGAGTGGTGGAAGACAGACAGCCCCTAAGTGCAAAGCACATATTTTTCCAACAAGTCTCCTTCCTCCCCGCAACAAAATCCTGGCATCATATTGCTGTTACCTTCTGGGACCCTAAAAACCACCTGAGTCCCTATGCTCAGCGCTGAAGGCATGTACAATTGAGGAACATTTTAAAAAGTTTCAGTCAACCCACCAGTAAATTCTGAACAGGCAACCTTTGGAACTGATTCTAATCTCATTTCCACTGGTGTAAATCCACTGAAAACACTGGAGTTAAACCAGTGAGCTGAGAATCAGACTTGCTGCACCAGAACTGTGTTCCTGGGCAATCTTAGAAATAAATTCTCTGCGGGGGTAAAGTCTGTGAACCTGTCTGTCTACTTCTTCTTAGCAGCTGTTTTCTTGTGAAAACAGTTAAAGTATGCATGTTCTTGCAGCTGATGTTGGGCGTCTTCCCTTCTGTCTACCCTTACAGGACTATGTATATCTTATCTTTGTAATGCAGTATATGGGAAGGTGCTTCAGAACAACAGTTAAAAATTCAAGGCAACTTTTAAATTAAAAAAGATAGCTAAAAGTCATCTTGTATTTCTTGGCTATATACATCTCACGGATATATTTGTCCTTAAGCACAACGCAGCTGAAGAAACCCCAATGTATGGCTTACTTGGAAGAATTAAAAGTAATTTCCCCGGTATTCCAAGCAAAGTCCAATATAATGGTGTTGAGCTTGCGGTATTTATTACTCTGGCTCTAAATTGCCTTTCATATTTTCTTGGATCCCAAAGCTGTAGCCAAATTGGCTGGTTAAATGTGAATAAGTGGTGCATTGTCTTCAAAACAAAGTCTGGCTTATTAAAAAGAAGAATTTTATTTTTTATAGTTAAAGTTAAATCACACCAAACACAGTGTGGACTGTAAACAGAAGAATGTCCTTGGGAACTACGTGCAATATCACTTCAGAATGTATGTCAAGAATTATCCCAGAGCTAGATAAATTCTTAAATGTACCTTTAAAATTAGAGCAAAATAGTGGCTTGCAAAAGAACTTCAGCAAGATTAAAAATGGAGTTTTTGATAATATTGTAATAAGAAATGTCATGCAATATTTCCCAACTATTTTTCCAGGTACAACTTGATTTATTGTAACTGTACCTGACAGCGCTAAGAATACGGTCTGGGCTATAATACAGTGAGAGAGCTTTTTGGATATTAGATATATAGCTTATGCATATTTTACTGTATTATAGCCCAGACCGTATTCTTAGCGCTGTCAGGTACAGTTACAATAAGTCAAGTTGTACCTGGAAATAAGCTATATATCTAATATCCAAAAAGCTCTCTCATTATAAATATCATATATAATAACTGGTACTAAACAAACAAGTTTTAGTCTGCAAGTGCCATTAATTATTGATTCACTAATTGATCATGCTCTCTGATCAACTGTAAAAACCAGGGTAATTAAACCAAGAACACAAATTCACAGATTGCATTATTGCTCACAGATCTATGAGTTTTCCTTAAATGGTGAGACTAAAGCACATTAGAAGCTGACATTTAATAGTATGAAGCAAGCATTCTGCATAGTTTTATTTTCTTAACAAAAACAGTTCAAAGCACAGTATTTGCAGAATGAAAATTAGTTGGAGAGAAATTCTGTTTTTAGAAAAACAGAATCACAGTGGCATATAAATAATACATTTCATTATTTTGCAGCCTGCCAGCTGCAAGTCTCATTGGAATGAATTTCCATTTATGATACAATCCCATGTCTCAAGCATTTGCATTGCTTACTCCTCCAAATTAGCACATAACAGTGCTTTTTATAAAGTGGATCTGCATTTCTTTCTTCTAGAGGGTAAAACACCCACCATATAACCAGCCTACATCCTAAAAACAAGGGAGCTAGCAGCTAACACGGTTGTAATGTTATAATTGTTTTCAACTGGGAAACAATTATAACGTTAACCTCTTGAAATGCTGCATAATGTCCATGTAGGTTCAAAATCAAAGAAATAGCTAGACAATAGAGTTTTGCTTTTCCATAAACCTTGGAAAATATTTATTCTACAGGAGTCAAGAAGTAAGACCCCAGCGTATGTTCAGCCATAGTATTCTATTATTTGCACCTATTAATAACAAGGTTGAATTTGGTCTCTGATAAGAAAGGTGCCATTCTGTACAATCTCCTTTTTAGAGGGGATGACTTGAGAGTGCACAGGGTCTTTGATAACTATCTGTATGGCATCTGATCTCTCCACTGTAGAGTTTTATACATGTTTCTGGCAGTTTTTTGGTCCAACACACTTCCTTAATTTACCCTCACACATTTCATTTCATAAATGCATAACAAGGGCTTATCCTGCAAAATCTGCATGCGGATATGCAGGTAGGTACCCGCCTGACATTAATGAAAAGTGTTCCTATATGTAAAACCCAGAGGCAGGATGAGACTCCAAGTTTGAAGGTATTAATTCTTTTAAAATTAGAAACCGCCCTGTTACTTTGGAGAGCAACTGTTAGTGTTCATGTGAGATTTTGGGCATATTAAGGTACAGTTTTCAATAAAATGTTTAACATATCCTGAGAATCTGAAAACTGAACTTTCAGTGATAATCTGCACAGGGGAAGAAGATACTAAAGAGGACAGAAATTCATTGTGTTATTCTTTCCTATGAACAGCTAACATCTTTGTGCAGCACATAGTTTTTACAGTACTCTACTTAAACCAATAAAAATGTGTCACTGAATACATCTAAAAACCTGTTTTTTTTCAAGAAAAATATCTGAAAAAACCTTGAGCAAAATCCTTCCCCCAGCAACTCAGCCTTTAAAAGCAACTTATCATTCAAAACCAGTTGAAATTGACAAAATGGAGCAGAATAAGAAGCCTAATAAATTGCTTAAATCCTCCTCCACTCTCAAATGCTTCACAGACTCTTTGACAAGATGATCCAAATCAGCTTCTGTCTATATAACTGCTGCCCAGAGTTGACCCCTAGAGCTGTACCATTCTGCCATACTGTAAAGTACAAAACTTTTCAAACTGTGTTGTTCTCTGAAGCACGAGTCTCGCAAATAGCAGCAGCACGCATTCACCTCTCAAGCAAAACCAACTTTAAAAGAGAATGTGAATGTTTCCAAATCTCATCTCTGGTACCAATAGCCTTGCACATGTACACACACTGTTCTGAATAGCTTCCTGTTCCAGGTTCAGAGCAGAAATTACTGTTCAACGGTGGCTTCTTGCTCATAACAAATCAGACTGATTTGGAATGAAACCTAGCTGAGAAGACAGCTCTGGTATGTCCAGTCACAACTTCAGACCTAGCCAAATGTAGCATTGAAGTAATCAGGCTGGTATGCTCTTACTATACAGAACCTTAGAGTCACTCTTAGAGGCCAGTAGCTCTCAACCAGGGATGCATGTATCTCTGGGAATAAGCAGAAATTTTCCAGGGGTACATCAACTCATCTAGACATTTGCCTAGTTTTACAATGAGCTAAAAAAAGCACTAGCAAAGCTAGTACAATTAAAGTGTCATAGAAAGACTTTATACTGCTTTATATAGGATCTGCTAAATGGCAAGTACCATACTTATATTCCTACTGATTTATTTCTTATGGTAAAAATGAGAAAGTCAACAATTTTTCAGTAGCGATGTGCTGTGACACTTTTTACATCTGATTTTGCAAGCAAGCAGTTTTCAAGTGAGGTGAAACTTTGGGGTAGGCAAGACAAATCAGACTCTTGAAAGAAGTATAGTAATCTGGAAACACCGAGAACCACGGTTCTTCCTTTACACTGGAAATTGGAGCATGTGTCTGACATGTTTTAATTAGCAACCTCCTTCCCCATACTATGATTTATCCTCCAGCTCCCAGTTCAAACTGCAAATAATTCACCACAGGGAAGCAAGGGGGATTCTGAATGCCCCCACACCTCTCTGAACTCTGTCTCTGGTTTTCTACTAGTGGCCAAGCCATTGCCAACTAATTCTAAAATACAGTAAGGAACTAGGCTGCCGGCTGCTTTCCCAGTATGCACCTGGAGTAGCAGTTCCAGATTTGAACCACTGCTGTCTTCAGGAAGGATTAACTCATGAGGTGCTCTTAAAGAGCCTTGTAATGTTTGGGCTCCGGGGTCCACCACTCTGGCCCATCGCACCTCATGAAGCCTGGATCATGACGGAGTCTCACCCCTTACTAGAGACCACATCCAGGTCACCCTGCAGTGCAGGGAGTTGGGTTTGGAACTTAAACACCTGCCACCCAATGCTGGAGGCAATGAGTCAATCTTCTCATTCCCTGCCTGCCTCCGACACTGGAACCAGGTAGTACAAAATCCCCTTTTTTCCTCCCGCCCTTGGTCTCTCTCCTCTATGTGGATTGTAAACTCCCTGGGGCAGGGACTGTGTGGCTGAGTAGGTCTAAGAACCTCAGCACCCTGATGTGGAATAGGGGCTCCCCCCTCCCAGTGAAAGATGGAGATAGTCTCATTCCCCACCTAAACCCCTGTGGAGCCAGGAACAGGACCCACTCCAGCCCCTCACCCCTGGGAAGAAGGGTAGGGCCCCAAAGGGAGGGAAAGGCTCTTACCATTTTGCCTTCCTTGGCTTCCTTTCTGGGTCCATGTCCTGTGTGATCCGTCCCCATGCTGCTACCCCCGGCTCTGCCCTCAATGATCCCGGGAGCCAGGGTGCAGAAAGGGGGGCTAGGACTGGGAGGCAGCCCGGAATCCGGACTGTCCAGCAGGCCCTCCCGGCTCTTCTCTTTCAAACTCTCTTCCATTCCTTGCAGGTGCAGGTGGCCCACCATCTCTGGGGGGCCAAGAGGGGAGTGGAGCCAAGCTGAAGAAAATCCGCCTCCTCCCTGTGCTTGAAGTTAAGAGATGAAGGGCTTCAGGCACGTCCAGGAGCCCCCCAGAACAGCCAAGGAAGCACCCCTGCTCAGGCACAGCCCGAGCTGACCCTGTGGGGAAGGGAAGGCAGAGAGGGTGCATCAGAAAAACCACCAGCCCTGATCAGCTCCAGACCTCGCTCACGCTAGGGACGCTGTGGAAGGAAGGGGAGCCAGGGCAAGAAGCAAGAGATGAAGGGCTTCAGGCACGTCCAGGAGCCCCCCAGAACAGCCAAGGAAGCACCCCTGCTCAGGCACAGCCCGAGCTGACCCTGTGGGGAAGGGAAGGCAGAGAGGGTGCATCAGAAAAACCACCAGCCCTGATCAGCTCCAGACCTCGCTCACGCTAGGGACGCTGTGGAAGGAAGGGGAGCCAGGGCAAGAAGCAAAAGCTGCCAGAGAATGTCCCCTTCCCTCTGCC